TGAGGAGGCCGCCTTCGAGTCCTGCTTCATGCCTGTCAGCCTGCTGCCAGACGAACAGATCGTGGGCATCTCCCGGGTAAGTGGGGACGGGGCAGAGAGGTAAACTGGAAGCCCTCCTGGGAAGCTGACATCGGGGCTAGTGGGCAGATCTGCAGTATTAGAGAGGATGACGGGGCATTGAGGAGCAGACCAGAATGTGGATCCAGAGTAGAAGGGCCAGTCAGAGAACCAGCGCTGTGTTCCTTCTCTGTCTGTATACATTTCAATCTTCCTATCACTTAAGGACAGTGGGTAACCGTCTGCCTCCATCTCTGTCAACTCGGAGTCATGGCAAGAAGATAGATGGCCTGCTCATTTGGCTGATCTGGGAGAGAGCTCAATGACAGACTTATTTGCTTTGGAGTGCATGGGGGAGGGGTGGTATGGTTCGGTGAGTTTGTTCACAAGAAGGGAGGCCAACCCCAGGGACTGAAGAAAGCGTGAGAGGAAAGCAAGTTTGTGAACCCCAAATGAAAGAGCCGCCTTCTTGAGAGCTGTGTTCTTCCTGAGAGGGTGTGGTCAGCCCCCAGGGAAACTGAAGAAAGGCTTTGGGAGATACAAAATTGAACTTCCCTCTGATCTCTGTTTTCTTGTGGTGACCCCAATGGCTCACCCTGCTGGAAGCCAGAAACCAGCATGCTGACACAGCCCTAGACTGTTAGAGTCAGTACCAGCTCAGGACCCCCAAGACCAAATCCTCAGCACAAAAGAGATTTATCTGTTTGAGAAGGACAGCAAGCAGAAAATAAGAGTCCACGACAGAAGGTAGAGGAGGGATAAGAGGAAGGGAACAAGGGAGAGGAGTTAAGGGTATTTGTCCCAGAGGGCAGAGGACTGCCTCTGGACAGAGAGGAGACAGAATTAGGAAAACGGCAGTTTATAAGGGTACAAGGGGAAGCCCTTGTTAGGATGAGATGTTTAATTTTTTTTTTGAGGTGTTTAATTTTAATTGGGCATGTTAATTAGGTGAGCCTAAGAGGGCTTTTGATAGCTGGACCTTGGTAGTCAGCCTCAGGAGGAGGAAGTGGCTAAATAAGGGACTAGGCCTTGGTGGCTAGCTTTAGGAATGTAATCTAACAGTGTTTGGCAAGGCAGAGGGGGAAGGGAGAGAAGGGCAAGGCCTGTCAGAGACATGTTCAGGCTGGCCAGAGTCCCTTTGAAAGGGTTAGACTAACTTTGTAACCTGTATGTCTTCTAAAGCCTATAGCTTTGAGTTTTAGGTTCAGGTTAAGCTAAAGCCTCTTAGTACCTTTCCAGAGAATGGAGGAATGTGACCCTATCTGTGAGGACAGATATAAAAAAAGGCAAGCAAGCAATGACCTTCAGTCAGCAAAAAAAGACCAGACCCTTGTCTTTGAGATAGCATTTCTTAGCAACGAACCCAGACTTGTTCTGAGTAGCTTTTGACCTGCAGCCAAAAGTCCGCAGCCCCTAATCTTCAAGGATGAGCTAACAACCCTCACCTTAAATTGCAGCTGCATCCACACTTGGCAGGACTGGCCAAGCTTGAGCACCTAAGACTAACCAATTATCTTACTTTGTAGCTTCCTCACCCAATCCTAAATTGCCAAGACTGCAACTTCAAATCTCCCACAATTTTTCTTTTAAAAACCTAAAGGCCTTTGTCTCCGGGTTCCAATCTTTGTTGACCGGCAGGGGTGACCCCATTGTGCAATGGTTAATAAACCTCTTGCTTTTGCAGCGAGTCTTGGTCTGGGGGAGTTTCTGGGAAGGGTGCGATCTTAAACTCCTGAGCTGTGAGACCCCAGGTCTTACACCTTCATTGATTGTCAGCAATCAAGAAGAAAGAAGAGGTTGGGTCCAGAGGGCAGAGGCTATCTCTAAGTAAGGTGCATCACCAAAACAGCCATACCCCACTCCTAGCAGCAGGCTGGTAGGAGTTCAGGTCTTGAACCCTCTAAGATGAGCAGGGTCAACCCTCAGTGATCCATGCCCTGCAGGACCAAGGGTCTTCTGTGTTCTTGGAGAGCCATCTGTGCCCACTCACTCTTACTACATTGAACATTAGCTGGCTGGCTCTCAGGGGTGGATATTCCATGCCCCCGCCCCTACTTCATAGTACCTGTAACTCTAGAAGTCTCTAGAACTAACCACCAGTTTCTGTGCCTGGGGCACCCGGGGCGGTCCAGTTTCCTACATGCAGTAGGTAGTACTGAGTGGCTAGCAGTCTGGTTAAATCCGAGTCCCACCTTTGCCCGATAGTGTGACCTTGAACCAGCCACTGAAGCAACTGCCCTCAGTTTCCCTGCCTGTTGAGGAAGCATCACGATTATAAAGAAGGGCTGGGTATATTCTTGCTCAGTCCTTGGTAGGAACGGGAACAGTTTTCTAGACCATGAAGAGCTGCCATCAAGCC